GCGTTTATAGAATAGAATGTTAGTAAGTTTGTACTCATTTACATAAAGCTATATTTGCTAAATTACCCCTGGTCCTTTACATTTCTCTTCCTGTTTGAGTTTCTCCTGGCCTCCCGAATGAAGCCGTCCAGATTTGTCTGATTTTCGTCTGGGTTCTTATTTTTCGGAAGTGAGGTACTTCTGAGTCTTTTTGTAAGTTTTGATGTTATCCTACCCAGAATCTGTCCTAGCCGGTTTTCGCCCGGCCATTTTTTCCGGATTCGTATGGAGGGTAGCATCTGGATATAGCCCGGTTCCCCAGAATATATCGTTAGTTGCTTCGGCGAATAGTGTTTTAGCATCTGAATTTTCCAGTTTCTCGCGAAGTTCCGGTACCTGAGTAGCTTTAGCATGTATGATCTCCTCCATTACCGTTTCTTTTTGATCTTGCCACTTTTCTGGGATCTTCACTTTATCTCCTATTCTCTTAGCCTCAAGAGCTGTGGGAGCAACGCGGATGTTTTCGGTAGCGTTGAAGTCTCCAGATCGAATAGCTTTCGTAAGCTGGTAGGCGTGCTCAGCTGATTTGTGGGTTTCCCCGAAGACCTTAACATCACAGGGAAAGAAATTGGATAGGGGGTTTTCTTTTCCTTGAAACACCACTAATCCATCAGCAGGTTCGCTATAGTGCTCACAATCTTTTGATCCCGGCTTATGTCCAGTTTGTTTGCATACACGACAAGACTGATTCTGATGATGAGAGATGACAACAAAAATGATAACAAGATGAATTACCGGTAACAACAATGAGAGAAAATGGGAATAATGAACATGAAATTGAAACAACAAACTCCATCAAAGGAAAAATATATAATATGAAATATCTATACAAAAATAATCTCAAAAATATGAATACTTTATCAAAAAGCACCAAAATAAATTAAATTGGAAAATATAAATATTTTCAAGAAATAAATAAATAATTTTCCTAGTTCTCCTAAATTCAAGTTTTAGTTCAAAAATACTTCAAAATATCTAATTAATTTTTAGAAGAAAGATAATCCAAAAATATTTACTTTAAATAAGAAATTTAATTGGTTTCCAAAAATGAATTTTTTAGGAAATAAATTCCGAATGAGTCAAGGACTCAGTTATCAAAATACGTTTCAAAGTGAAAGTAGCAGAGAAAAGGTGAGGTGCTGAAACAGTACCTGTACTGAGTGTTCTGCCGGACGACTCCAGTAAGAAAAGGACAAGACAGCCCTTTTATACTTTATTGAACAATAGAAAATCAATGAATCGATAAGTTTATATCAAACTGAACTATTGGATTCACATAACGCCGATTAGCTAATCAGAGCGGACTTTACAAAGGTATGTGAATACACAATACAGGAAGTGACAAATATTGTTTACAAATGGAGAACCGGGTAAGATGTGTTTGACTTCGCGTTGTGTTTAAGTTAGATATGATTTATTAGCACCAAATTAATTAAGTGTAAACCAATAATTATTAAGTATAAAGATGTAAAGTTAATTGAGGTAAGTAATTTGGCTGAACAAAAACCAGTTTTCCTACATTTTACTAGCTTCGCCATCGCCATACCAACAAGAAAAACAACAGCTAGAACTACAGCAGAAGTATTTTTCAACAACTTTATTGTTCACTATGGACTCCCCAAACGTATTCATTCTGATCAAGGCGCAAATTTCGAGAGTAAACTCATCAAGGAATTATGTCAACTTTTTGGAATTTCTAAATCAAGGACTACACCATATCACCCCATGGGAAATCGACTATGTGAACGTTTCAACAGAACTTAAGTCAATATGTTGGGATCTTTAGAACAATAGAGGAGAGCAGACTGGAAATCTTACATAGCTCCTATTGTACACGCTTATAATTGCATGAAACAGGAAACTACCAAATTTTCGCCTTATCATCTTATGTTCGGAAGGGAACCAAATCTGCCCATAGATATTGATTTTGGATTGCATCAAGAAAATCAGAAATCATCAACTCTCACAAAATACATTTACAACATGAAAGAAGGAAATCTTACCAGTTGGCATCAGAACTGCAAGAAAATCTGAACAAAGGCAAAAAGATAACTATGATCTTAGATCCAGAGGAGCTGTGATAGAGGTCGGCGATAGAGTCCTGGTGAAGATAGTTGCATATGAAGGCCGACACAAACTCGCAGACAAGTGGGAGGAAGAACCGTATTTGGTGATTAGTCAACCTAACCAAGGGATTTCTTTCTAGAAAGTCTAAAGGGAAGATGGAGTTGGTAAACTAAGGATACTGCATAGAAACCTACTCTTGCCCATTAGACCAAAGATAGATTCCAAAGAAAAGGAGAAAGTTCCAGCAATGCGGGCACCCACACCAAAGTCAAGGACTAGGCAGAATAAGAGGGAAAACGGGGACAGACAGTCCATTGTCGATACCCAGTCAGATACAGATGATGAAGAAGCAGTCATTATAACAATACCAGGTGGAACACAACGTCATCACATTGATGCCCCTAATATTGTGTTGCCTGAAGTGGAGACAGAAAGTGATATTGTGGATGAAGATCTCCAAACAGTTGGGGACGCCCATCAGATTGGAGAAGATGTATTGCAATAGAATACAGATGATGAGAATGCTATGGAACCTGCACCACAAGCAGATGATCAAGAATCTGAAGCTGAACCAGCAGCTGTTATTGAACAGGAAGGTAAAGATGAACCTGGAGCTGAACAGGAAGATAAAGTTGAACCAACAGGATGAGCTGGATTAACGGACGAACCTGAACCAGAATTGGACAACATAAGTTCACCTGTTGCTGCTCCCCGCAGATCAACCAAGGCTAGAAGAAAACCAGATTGGTTGAGAAGTGGAAACTTTGTACGGTTACAACAAGCCACTATTGATCCGCATTGGACTGGGAAAGTAACATTATTGCAGAACATCTTGCAGGACGAGCGTTGTCAAGGACTGGAACGAAGGTGAGATTTTAAAAACTTTACTCGATATTGTAAAGAAAACTTAAATTTGTAAATTTCAGTATGATTTTAATATGGTTTTTAATTTCAATATGATTTACATTCTTCGTATGAGAATGACGAAGACGTCATTTTTCGTAGGAGGGGAAGAATGTAGCAGTGTGTTTTTAATTGTGTATATCATATATCATACAATATTGAATAAATACCAGTATTATTGATATAAATGAAATTGAATAAGATTTTCTAGTTTAATATAAAACTTAGATCCACCCCTTTACATATACTTGTGAGCGATAAAGTTCAAGGTCATTTTCTTGGGGTTCTGTCTATTTATTGGTTGTGGTTCTTAGTTGTTCTCAGTTGCTTTAATTAGACTACTCAGAGGTTTTGGCCAGGTTGGCAGTGTGTTGAAATCAGAGTTATTTAGACAAAGAATTTAAAGACTTTTTGACTTGAGACCTTTAGACCAGACCTGGCAGTAAGTATTTACTTTATTAACATTCTCTATATATTTATAATACGTTTATTTAGCTAATATCACTGTTTGAAAGAAGAGTGAAAGTTTAAATAATGAATTAAAACTTAATCTTCAGTATTTCATCTCAGAGATTATATTTATTTGAATAATGAGTATTGTATTATGTATAGTACAGTTCATAGTATTTCTTATTGGATAGGTAAGCTGAAGCATCCAGTAGTATATTTTGGTGTTTGTATGGAATGGGCCTTGTCCCATAGAGAGGTAATAAGCATATGTTACCTTTTGTATATTTTAAAGTTGTAATATTATATCATTACATTAATTGAGATGTGATTGTAGAATATGTGTGTAAAGTGCAATACTCCACATTTTGCAATGTATGGAATCAATGTGTTCCGCATATACGAATTGCAAAACCTAGAGACGATGTATGTGCCACCTGTGAGAAGCTACGGAAAAGCATTTTTTCTGAGGAAGAAAAGTTGGTTGCAACAAGGAAGATGCAGGACCACATCATACAAGCAAAGAGGAACATTTACAATGAATGTGTAAAAAGGTCCCGTGACACATATCGCTTATGAACAAGTTCGTCCACTATACTTTTGATTTCAGTCAAAATGTTTGTATTCCTCACCATGCACGACAAATGGGCCCACTGTACTTTCAGACTCATCGAAAAGTCCATATATTTGGTGTCCGCAGTGATGGAGAATCTAAGCAACTGAATTTTTTGATTAATAAGGATGAAACTATCTGACCAGATGGGGCAAATGTGCATGGTCCAGATTCGGTGATTTCTATGCTTGACTGGGCCTTAGGAAACCATAATTTGGGGGAAGTGTCATGTACCATCCATGCTCAACAGCTGTGGTCAGAATAAAAATCAATATGTGCTTGGATACTTTATGTGGCGAGTCATGACGAAACAACACAACGCCATAGAGTTTAAAATGCAAATTCCTGGCCATGCGCGATGCCTCATCGATGGAGGATTTGCTTTTATTAAAAAGTTATACAGGCGTTGTGATTGTGATGGTATTGGCCAACTTGAAGATGTTGTGAACAAATCTTCCTCTACGAACACAGCTGTGAGATACCCAGCATGGCAATGGAGATCATGGAGAGCTTCCCATAGTCAGTTTTTCAAAGCAATGACGGGTATACGACAGTACCAACACTTTTCCTTCAATTCTGAAGAACTCGGCATTGTTACAGTGAAGAAGACCAGTGAAGGGAACGAAGAAAAGATCTCAATTCTAAAAGACAAGGATTTTCAGTTTACAGAAATTAGAAGACCAGATGTTCTCCCCGCAAGTGGACTTTCTGAATCTCGGCTGCGATACCTATTCTCGCATGTGAGACCATATGTGCGACCACCATTTCAGAACGAAACTTGCCCTAGTCCATTTCCCTAATAGAGTGGAATTAAATGTATAGATATAGTATGAATGATTTTATTGATTTGAACCCTGTCATTATTGTGAATTTTCAAAACAAAAAAAGATGAATAATTACAATTATAACATTGTTTACATACAGATTGAGATTTAAATGAAACTGAAAATGTCTTCTTCTTATTCTTTTTTTGATAGCCTAAAAGTTTAGCATATGTAATAATCAAAGAAGAATTAAAAAAAATATATAGATACATATGTATTTATTTTGATAGTTAATTCGTATAAGTAAAACTTAAAATTTTTCCGTAAATCAATCCTGAATTAAAGAAAATTCTTACGCAACGTTAGATTTACGTTAGAATGACGTTACGCCGTTTCATGGGTTTGGACACATTATAAATGACGTCATTCAGTCGCCTGTAACTTGGTTACTATTAGGATTTAAACAACCAAACTTGGTTATATTATTTTTCAGATCAGTGCCACTAATTTCCAGTGAAAAACTCATTTTCATTAAAAATGTCATTAAGACCCCTTTTTCCAGAGAGCGGTCCATATATCGATTTATAGAATCATAGAAAAGGAAAGCCCTATAAAACTTACTTATACATGTTTATCATATCATTCATTTAAAGAATATAAAATAGATAAACTGATAAATTATAGAAAATTATCATATAAATATTATTTATTATATTCTTCCTGTAAAATAAAAATGAAATTTATATGCAAAATTAATGTAAATTTTATAATGAAGACTACGTTGTAGTTTTCAAAGATTAGTATTATAATTTGAAAAATAAGTATGTTTACCCAGAAATATTAAATGCTGTATGATTAAGTTCAATAAACTTACTTCTTCTTGGTGTTCTATTTGCACCAGCGCAACAAACTCGTCACCTTTGTTCTGTCTCAGGAAAGCACACTTCGGAAACCATCTGGCATGTTCTGTCCATGGATCATCCCCTGGTTCCCAGTTCCGTAGTCCTCCCCCGCAAAAGAAGCATCGGGTATAATCCCCATACCCTGCATACAGAAACCCGGCTGTAGCGAGGTCACGTGGTGTTTGCGTCAAACTAGTGGGCCAGTCTTTATAAGAGCTCACTCTTGTTGCCAGCACTGCATATGCAGGATATTTTGGCCGTTGAAAGTTTATTCCGAGTGGATCTAAATCAAATTCATTTATCTTTTCTTGTATGTTTCTTGATCTTGAGTGAACTGTGTTCGCTTCAGTTTTTGTTGAGTTTCTGTGTTCATCTGTCTTTTTTGGCAGGGCATTAGCTCCATTTTCTGATGATGGTTTTGATGATGAGGCTTGGGAGCTACCATTTAACAATGCTGACCCAGGGGTGTTTGTTGTGTTGAAAGAACCACTGGAAATGACGGTTGCATTGTCTCTGTATGGTGGTGCCGACTCTGGTAATGTAACCGATGCATTGTTATTTACATTTTCTAAACATCTATCCCTTTGAGCACCTTCATTATTGGCATTAGTTTGGTTTGTATTATTCAAAGAGGTTCCATTTGGAACATTTCTAGACTGAGAAGGGTTTTCTATATGTTGATCTGTACTAGCACCATTCGGAATATCTCCTATTGGAACATTATTAGAAGGACCTGCTTTTAGCAGTGGACAATTTGGTGAAATCTGGCGGTGAATTTCTCGTGGACAATCGTCTCCTCTCCATCTGCTCCTCTCAAATCCGCACGCAAAGCAGACAACACGGTCACCATCGCCAGTAAAATAAAAGCCCTCCTTAGCGAGTTTAATTGTCGAAACATAACCGGAAGCAGGGAAGTTCAGGAAAGTTTGTAGGCGCACAAGCTCTAGATTATTCTCAAAGGTATACGTGGCGTTTGATAAATTATATGTGAGACGACCTGAAATGGGTGAACGTAGAGTGTAACCATAGAGACGAGAAGTATATATGTGAAAAACAGTAAGCCACCAGATTAGGATTAATTCGTTTGTTTGTTTTTTAAGAGAAAATATACCTTTTTACACGATTCAGTTATATTTAAAAACCTCATTTCTTACATCGAGCATATTTTATGAAACAAAAAAATATGTCTTATACTACATATATAACGAAATATTATATTATTGTATTATTTGATGAATGAAACCTCATATGCAAATAAAACATTCAACGTATTTATGTAAATGAAATACTCCTTTAGCTTACAGACCGACACATATACTCAAAGTAAAATCTGACCTGCAACGCTCATATTTTCATTTTAGGTCAGGTATAAATTGATAATAAAGCGAATCTTACCTGACTTAGGAGACTTCCATTCACTATACGGATCAACCTCTGCAAGAAGTAAAACATTAATATTATTAAGTGCATAATACGCAATTTTTAAAATACCGGTAATTTTGCTATAGTTTTCTTTCAAATTACATAGTTTTTATATTGTTATCCGCCAAAACAAGTTTGAAAGATTGAGAGTTTTTGTGTTCTCAAGTTTTGGTAAAACCTTTTTGGAAAATAATTTGATCAAAGTTAAATTTACATTACCAGAGTATGCTTTTTTGAATATTGACAATCATCATCTTGTTTTTCATAAGTGTATTTTAAATTTTAAACCTTAGTCTCCTACTGTTACCACACAAGACCCCAGAGTTCAATACTTATGCAAAAAAGTAGTTGGTTCTATTTAAATATAGCTAATCAAGGATCCGTTGATATACAGATAAAGATTAAAGAAATTCATATCGTGTTCCAACTTTTTGCTTGGATCCTGACTTACAGAAACTTGCATTTATAGTATCTGCGCAAGGGGAATAAGGAAGCATACAAAATATTCTACCTTGACTAAATCAGTGCTACATTATAACGTCATAGTAAGCGAGATTACGTCAATTTTAAAACGTAAGTTTTCGTAATATTGGTTTTTAGAGATATTATTTAACTGTAGAAAATGAATAGAAACGTGTAAACATTAACAAAAATAAAATGCTCTTATTTTGTAATGTTGTATTCTGTCATTTTGATTAAAATCTACCACCGATGACGTCAAATGTGTACATCAAGTAACTTGGGAATTGATCATGCCGTGTAAAGAGAATTTGGCTAATACTGCATGTACAACGATATGTTAAATGGAGTTTAGTAGCAAATATTGTTAATATTTTGTGATATTCATATGGAGTTTAGTTAATAAAACAGGTATGCTAATTTATTTTCATCGATTTTATTCTCTATCGAAGACAGTCAGCTATATACGTATACCGGACGATCTTTCCTTTGTCATTTGTAACAAAAATAATGCAACAGAACAACAATAAGCTCGATATTTCAAAACATTATATTTGTACAAATGGAACGTTTGCCTCCTAAAATACTTGGAAAGTGATGCTAGAATCCCGAGTTATGCATGGTTTTATGAAAAATCAGGGTTCATATGTGAAAAAAAATCAAAACATTGGGTAAGGTTTCGTTCGATTGTGTGCAATAATTATTTTACTGACGGGTCAGTTGGATTCTAGCAGCACTTTTTAGGCAAAAAATATGTTTTTCAACAACATTATTTACTCAAAGAAATTATCAAACTCCGGGGTATTGTTGTACTGATAGCTTTTTTATTAAGGAAAATTTCGCTATTAATAGAAGTCACGTGATGCCGTGGTGGTGGTGCACGTCATTGCTTTAGACACTCTTTCATCTTTATGCATTAGATAATATTAGTTCACGTTTATCAGTGGTTTTGGTAAATTATCAAACTTGATTTTCTTTAAAAAGTCTAAATTTCCCGAAAATTGACTTATATGCTTCCTTATCATACCCCCGTGCTTAGGATATTTCCGTATGAATAAAAATAAGTGTGTCTCGATCTGCTTTTTTCGTCATTTTCTTTGTATTTGTATGTAACATAGCAGAATTTGCATATATATAAGTTTAAAATTATGTTTTTATTTTTATGCATATATAATTATGAAATAAAGGAAGATAAATAAAGAGCTGTACGAATATATGAAATAAAAAAGTTATTTTTCAATTTTGTTGTATTAATTATTTTCCCGCTAAAACTCTGTTGAGCGATTGGTTTAGAAGTGTCACATGACTTGGGACCATAGACAGGTTTTGAGTTTCTTTAGGGTGTTACTCACTTTTGTCCCATGCTGTTTTGCCAGCAGGTTGTGTACATTCTAGTTTTTGAGTTAAATTGACTTTAAATTTTTAGGCATGGTATGTTTGAGTCTTTGTTGGGTTTTTATCTTTCAAGCTTGAGCATTGCTTCAGGATAACATTTTGCATTTGTATTTTTCCAGTGGTTAAAAACTTGCATGTTTAATTTCTTTATGAATATAAGTTCATGACATTTAAAACAGAGAAATTTGAGAATAATAATTTTTATTAATTTTTTGAATGAATCCTAGTATCCATTATATTTTTTGAATTGTATAAAACAGGAAATTTGTTAATTTTTGGCATTTTGAGATGCCCCCTCTGGAAACAAGAAGGTAGAATTTTGTGTTTCTGGCATATGATGTACAATATAGTTTTATGCATCATACAGTTTATATAGTTTGAGCAAATAGTTTACGTAATATTTGTATAATTTGCTTTAAAATTTGACGCTACATAGAATCATGTGATATACAATGTAGTAAATATCTGTATTTTGAAACTTTTGAGTCTTTAAAAAATACCTTGACGGTACATTTTCCCTAAACCTGGCATGTACACTGAAGTCAATGTAAGTTATATAGTTACATGGTATAAAAATAAACAGATCCTCTGTCATAGGTTCACACAATAAAACCCTAGTCGACTCCCTTAAATTCCCAATACATGTTGCTTCCGAAGGAACGTATTTTTCTTTCTTTGAACCTAATGGTTTCTGAGAATTAAAAAAAAATGATATCATTATGTTTCAAACATTTCTTAAAAAATGCCTCTTTTAATTAAAAGAGGCATTTTTTAATTTGAGAAATTTGAATATTATCAAAAATTGTAGCAAGGGTAGCTATAATTGGCTCAATTGATTTCAAGAATCAGTCAATTTTTTATGCACCGGGATCGAAAGATCCGAGGCGTATATTGTTTTTGTCCTGTCTGTCTGTCTGTCTGTTTGTTTGCAAACTTTAACCTTCGTCATAAACCATGAATGGTTGAGACTTCATATTTAGTATGCATACTTCACTATTAAGCTCTTTCAAATGACATCAAGAGCGATGACCTTGTGACCCTGACTGTGACCTATATGCTAAAAATAGTTTTTTCCCTGCAAATTTAACCTTCGTCATAACTATTGAACTATAAAAGATAGAGACTTTATATTTGGTATGCATACACCACTGATTAGATCCTTTCATATGACAGCAAGGTCATTGACCTTGTGATATTGACTGTGTCCTATATGCTAAAAGAAGCGTTTTCGAATCTTCAGCATATCGTTTGAACCATGAAAGATAGAGACTTCATATTTGATATGCATACTTCACTAATTAATTTCTTTCGAATGACATCAAGATCGGCGACCTTGTGACCTTGACTATGGCCCATATGCTAAAAATGTTTTTTTTAACTTTGTTGCCGCCTGGCACATAGTGTTTCACAAACACATCTTGTTTTGTTTGCAGATGGACAGAGGTCATTCAGCTGTATCAAAACTGGCTTTTTTGAGATTTTTATAACATTGATATTTTTTTTTGCCGTTCCACATGACCTTGTAAATTATACTAATTTTATTCTCATCTTTTTATCCAAGAAAATGAAAAACGTGTAAATATTTTTTAAATAATCGCAGTTGTACAAATTGAGAGAATTCTATTATTATTATTATTTTTAATTTTTTATTCTTACCTTCGTTATGGCTGACTGAAAAATAAGAAGAAGGCAGGGTAAACATTTGATTTGCTGTATTTTTTAAAATTGATTTTTTACCAATATTGTATTGTAAAAAGTGCCTTTTTATCAGTAAGTTCTTTAGCTGTTGTAAAAAAGGCCCTGTCAACATATATTTTTTATTTATCTTATTTTTTGTTACCTTTTCTTCTTTTATATCCGCCAAAACATGGCTGAAAGATTGCCGACTTGGCGTTAAACAATATTCAATCAATCAATCTTCTTTTATGTAAATTTAATTTATAGAAAATTGAGACTTAATACGATATCATAATTTCGATAAGAAAGCCCTTTGTTGCAACAACTATTGAAATAAAGACCACTATTGAAATAATTATATCAATAGTGGTTGAGAGTCCATTTCAATAGCAAACATAGTTAGTAGCCACTATTGAAATACAACCGCTATTGAAATAATTATTTCAATAGTGGTTGAGAGTGCATTTCAATAACAAACATAGCTAATAACCATTATTGAAATATGACCACTATTGAAATAATTATTTCAATAGTGGTTGAGAGTGCATTTCAATAAGAAGCATAGGAAATAACCACTATTGAAATACGACCACTATTGAAATAATTGTTTCAATAGTGGATGAGATTCATTTCAATAACAAACATAGGTTGCAACCACTATTGAAACAATGTTCACTTTTGAAATAAAGATTTCAATATGGATTGAATTATTGATTTCAATAGAGCTTTAAACAATGAATCCAATATATATTGAAATAATTATTTTAAAAAGTTGCTGACGCAGGGAAACTCTTCTTTCAATACTAGTAGTAAATCAATAGTGGTTACCATTTAAGAAATATCATTTATTGAGTGTCATTGAGATATGACATGAAGTCGGTCACGTGATTAAGGGCGTTATAGTAGATTTGATCACGAACCGACTTCATGTCATATCCCATTGACACTCTAAAAATGATATCTTATTTCTTATATTTATATTTTTATTTCTATTCCCATTACAAAGACAAAATGCTCCATTTAGACTTTGTTATTGGATGCAACATAACGTATAAATACGACGTCATATGACGTCACAGTTAAGACTTTCCAAATGTCTTGTGCAGTTTGCTTTCCATACGCAAGAAAGTATGATCATGTGACCGACTGCATGTCATTTCAGTTTTTTAGTATTGTCATCTAAAAAAAGACATTGGCAAATATAACTAAATTAATATGAAATGCACTCTCACCCACTATTAAAAATATTTCAGTAGTACCCGTATTTCAATAGTTGTTGAAACCTATGGTTATTATATTGAAATGCTCTCTTACCAACTATTGAAATAATTATTTCTATAGTGGTCGAATTTCAATAGTGGTTACTTTTTTATGTTTGTTATTGAAATGCATTTTCACCCACTATTAAAATAATTATTTCAATAGTGGTCGTATTTCAATAGTGGTTACAAACTATGTTTTCTATTGAAATGCACTCTCACCCACTATTGATATTATTATTTCAATAGTGGTCGTATTTCAGTAGTGGTTACTAGCTTTGTTTCCTATTGAAATGCACTCTCAACCACTATTGATATAATTATTTCAATAGTGGTCGTTATTTCAATAGTAGTTGCAACAGCCCTTAATTGTTTAGTAAAAGTAATTGTAAAGAAAGAATCAGAAAAAAAGAACGAATACACAGTACTTTAGTTTAATTCTTTTGTAAATACATACATGTATTAGCCACATACTTATTTTTAGCGGAATTTCTTTGTATTTTCTCTTTTCCGACATCCTCCTTTTCCAGAAAATAATGGCAAGGACTAAGAGCAGTATCAATATTAGACAAAGTGTACTTCCTATGATCACTCCTACATCGCTTGATTCTTCATCTACAATACCGGTCTCTGTGGTCAACATGCTCATTGTATAATTGATTATGCCACCAACCGGTGTACTTGGGTTGTTAGGATTAATTTCTGTTCTGCAAATTGGAAAAAGATATAGATGATTTTCATATTCTATAATTTGGTAAAGACAGTTCTATTATTTCATTTATATTTGTAGTGGTTTTATTGTTACGAAAAATAGTCTGTAAATACTTGTTTATATGTTAATATATAAAATTCATGTCTTGTAAATGACATTTGTTTGTTAATTATATTTATTTATTAATTTTGATAATTCGATCAAATCGTCATAATCAAGATGATACATGTATTTTCATTGTTGGAGCCGAAAAGAAATATGCTTCGAATAAAACGAAAAACCAAAACCTAAGTATTATAGATTTATCAGAACATCAAGTGAGAGGTCTGTTCGAACAAGAGGAATCTGCATAAAAACATTGATTTTCAGTGTTGATTCTGCTGCAGGCTGGAACTAGACATGAGATAAAATTAATATTCTTTGTAAACAATATATTTGGTTTCTGATTCATGTAATACATACATTTGTATAAGTCGGTTCCTCTGAAGTTTTCTTCTGGACAACCGGCTTGAAAATGATTACAGCTAATCTGATCCAAGAGTCCATCTCCAAAAGTTTCCAAGCAATATCCTAAAAAAAAAAACCAAAAGTAATCAATGTCGATCATTTTAAGGAGTGAAGATTCTGTTAAGCGATCTTCTTAATTTAAGATACAGTTTTCTTAAATATGAAGCTCCAAACATACTGAATATGTTTTATATAAATTTAAGAAATTTCAAATATATATTACGCCTTTATCACATGAGTCCTTAAGTGCTAAACTGCTTAACTTTAACTTAAACGATTTCAAAAATTTTTAAAATTCAAAGAAACATCTTTTTTCTGAATTTTATATGGGAGTTGTCCAAAATATTCGTGGATAAGGACGTTTTTGTTAAAATAATTGGTTCTATACTCAACAAAAAAAGAAACGCATATTCAGATTTAAAATGATAATCTAAGTTTTCAGTTTAAACCTTAATTTTAAGTGATGTTAGAGTGTTTTGTGATAAAAATTAAATAAGTTCTATGTTCCAAATTGACAAGTGAAGTTGATGTCATTTTCGTCGCCTCTAAATTCTAGATGCATACGTCTTTACCAATCCATATGTACTTTGTGACCCCTCAGCGCTAGTGGATTGTACGCAATGTACGGACGCCATGCATGAGAACCAGCTCTTTTCAGACTTTTGCGAAGAATTTGTACATTTTATGCTGATTTCAGCAGTTTGTACAGTAGTTTCGAGTCGATTGCGCAGGTACTGATGGAGGATCTGACGGCCTTTTTGGGGGGCGAGTTCTAGATCTGTCATTTCTATTCCTAGCTGGTGGAGACGTACGTTTACATATAATTGCTGCACAGCCGATTGATGTACACCAAATGCAGTTGCAACTTGCAGTTACTGTACGTAGTTCCGGTTAGAATCATTGTTAGAGCCTTATTGCGTTCATCTTTGTTTAGGCGTGGCATTGCAGCATCAATTTTGCAATCAACGCAAAAATATGAAAATAGACCCCAAATTTACAAGAAATCATGCAAAACACTATTTTCATAAACATTATAAATCCAGGGAATAATTCAACAATTGGGGTTAAAAGGCCCATGATGTACTTTAGATAGATCACATGTATTTCATGTTAGAAAAGATAGTTGTTCCATATACTTTTACAAAATTTCTTTGATGAGTTAAAATTATGCTTTTTTGGTTGAGTATATATATATCAAAATATTTATTTTGCAAAACGAAGTCAGAAAGATTAAAATTTTATTGATGGAACTTATATTCTTGTAAAATAAGGGGTCTTTAAATGTCGCGGACTAGCTGTGCTCATGGACCAATCTGACGTTAGGCTAATTTCAGTATAACGTCCAACATTTGGATTTGAACACACACTACATTTTCATTATTATGTCATACTGCAAAGTGCTAGAAATACTTTTAAGTATAGATAATAATTCATCACATTTTTAAAATTCAAAACAGCACACGATTATTTAAAAGTGTCAACATAAACAACTTGTAAACACATGTTGCACATTCAAGTCTGATTTGCGCTAGATTTATAACAACGCCATGAGACGTTTCCATATGAGTGAAAAATTCTTGAGAGGGACGTTAAACAATAGCTGTTTTCAAATCCTCGTAGTGTCTTCGAATTTACATGCACACTTGAAAAATCGTATATACCTATCTCAAATTGATAAATTAAGTATATTATAATAACTTTGAATTGTTATGCATTTGAACCTTGGTCCTCTCCCACTATCTGCGACATTTGAAGAACCTGATTTTTACAAAAAAAATAAAGTAAAATCAATAAAAATGAAATTCATCTGACAACCCACATAGATCTGAATAATTAATGATTTCTATGGCAGATCAAACTCTGCAATATTCGATCTTTTCCGTCTGTATTATATTATGTTTTATCAGATATTTTACCATTTGTATTGTATAAGTTTTCATTTGTATTGTGTAACATTTGTATTCATTTGTATAGTTTTTCATCTGCATTGTATTTTTTTTTATTTTATTCGTATGATTTTCATTGCAATGCAAATGAAAAATTATACTGTAAAAATAAAAAAAATATATACAATACAAATGGAGAAAATCGAATTATGGGACGTTTGACAGGCCATTACTATATATATATTACAATATTACGTAATTGTGTAATTTCCAAATAATTTTTTCTTTACCCTTTTGATAAAACCCGACAATTTTGCTGTAACAGAATTCTACAAGAGCTGATCTGTCTTCGTTAGGGACACAGGTATACTGATTACGTCCATACTGGTCCTCACTACAGTTCAGTCTGGTGGCAGCTGAGATAAACTCTGTCTCATTGGTAGGACAGGAATCCACAACGTAACCAAACCCTCGATACGTCATATCTGGAATAATATGAGAACATGAGTTCCGTCTTTGCGTTCATGTATATTAATACGAGGAAATAAACATGGAGAGAGCACGTGTTATTAATACATTATAGTAGAAAATAAAATATTAAAGCGTAAAAAGATGTGGGGCAACAACAAATTCAAATGTTGAGTATTGTTTGTTTGTTTTGGCGTTTTGATAAACAACTTTTAAAAGGTGTGAATAGACGAAGGACCTATTACAATATTCAACTATTGTGAATCAAAAATTCAGATTAATATATCTCTTTTTAAAATACTTTGATACAATCTTGAAGTAATGAGGATTTCTTTAAATAGTTTTTGAGTATGAATGGTGTTCGTTGGTATACTTTTCTACGCGACAAGTCTGTGTGTAATTAGCATACCACTAAAAGTTACACAGTATAAAAAAACTAAATCAGGCATCTTTAGTTAATTGAAAATTAAAAAAAACAAACTTTTAGTTCGAATATTTTAGAATTAAGAAACCTCTTTTTTCACTGATGAATCTTCTCTTTACATGTAGGCAAATTTATTATTTAGTCATATATTTCTACAAAGTATTCCTTGATGCTCTGTTCATGTACATGCATAAATTTACATATATGGATTGAAGATGCAAATATGCATGTACTTGTAAAATTATTAAAAGATGGATATAGAAAGAACAAACGGTTTTCAATTTCAAAGTTCATTTAACAGGTCTGGACGATTTCTAAATATGGAAGTCAAGAACGATTACCGAAAGTTGCTATAAATGTACATCAAGTACACGTAATTATTTTTCTGTCCAATCAGAAATCCGCATTTTTACACACCCCAAAACTTATTTTAAAAGAACAAAAAGATAACACGTGCTTTTGGTTTTTTTTTCCTCAAAAAGATTTTTTTAACAAAAAATTTGTAGAAGTAAGATGGAAACTTTTGAAGAATAAGGTATTCCCCATATTTTTACCGTGAACAACCTTGACATTTTTATCTCGGTAAAGAAAAAATAATGTACGATAAAATGTATTCGTTTACAGAGGTATAGATTGCAACAGCAAGTTTTTATCTAGGTCAGTTATAACATTTACCAGAATGTATTAAATGATGGGAAATATAATTTTGCTTAGCCGTCCGATTTTCATCGATAATACTTAAATTCCATGTGTATAGATCAACTCACACAAGTGTTTATCGTATGGAGTATACACATAGGGTATATTCGATTAAGCGACACGAGTTACACGAGTCACTAGAGTTGTAAATAAAACAACCTATCTTCGACACGGGTGATCAACCCGTGTTACGCGAGTATACTCCTCAGTTTACCTGGAGTAACAGGTGAAAGAAATGGCGGGAAGTGAAGTCGCATTGTTAATGCTAAAACTGTTTCTGCATAAATATGTCAGTGTTTGTATTAGAAATTTACAACGTCAATGAAAAAAGTCTGCAATATAATTTTGACACCCCCTTTTTATTTTTTTTAGTTTTTAGGTCAACCTCTTTAATTACTGTTGTTTTATCATTGACCGTTTTTTTAACACTTTTTTTTAAATAAAGAAGTTAATCCAGCTTTTTTTTGTCTGCTTATAATTATTGCCCGAACCTCTAGATCCCCTTTTACAAATGAACTTAGACTAAAACCAAAAACTTATGTTGATTATAAATTTTTGAAAATTAACTGTTTCGGAAATTGTTACCATTAAACATTTTAAATTCTTTTCAAGAAGAATAAAATCGCAAATAATTTCTGGACTTTGTGATATGCACCTAAATACCGGTCTTAAGGCCTCCGAATCACAAAACATATTACCCCCCCCCAAAAAAAAAGAAAGAAAAGAAAAAAATTGTGATATACTAGTACTGCTCGGGGTAATTCGATGAAATCGCATATCCCTTGTAATAAATTTATTTTTATTTATTATCTATTTTGAATTCTTATTACTTTTTTGTTTATTTATTTTTGCTTGTCAAAAAATTCTGAGACTCAACATCTGTGAGATTTGATGCCCCCCCCCCCCCCTTTTGAAAAAAAATATTGGATGTCTGCGCTTACATTATCCCCTATAACTTTTTAAAAATTAATTTAGGTCCCCACTAACAAATTAATACTTTACTAATTCATTCCTACCATAGCTATATATTTTTGTCCCTGCACAAAGCCGTCCTAAGGAATTGGAAAGGTTTGATTTTTTTTATTATTTCTGTTGCCATGGGAACAGGGGTCCATAACAACTAATGAAATAATCACCGGTTTCAGTTTGCAGACGCATTCCTGCATGACTGTCAAAAAATTTTAAGATCATATTCCTGGCAAAACTATTTTTATGCATAAATAGAATGTCTGATCAAAAGGAGATTTATTCGCATTTTCGAACAAATATGGGGTTTTTTGGTAATCGAAAAAAAAAAGATGTTTGGACAAATATATTTTTCTAGAGTTTTGATATATCAAAAGGCACATTATAAATAACAAAATTCCACTGGAATCATATCTGTTGCAATTTGTTTGAAGTTTGGGTGTTTTTGAGTTGCTCTCACATTTGATCCTGTAATTATCTTAAAACTGAATTATTAATAATAATCATTTAAGTTCATAGGGTAATTAACACGACATATCTATGTTGCGATTGTTAAATCTATAAAAATAATTTTAGTGAATCAATTTGCATCTAATAGACAATTTTAAAATCAGGGGGCCCGTTTTACAAAAGAACTTACACCTAAGACCAAAATTAATTCTGCGATTTTATTCTTCTTGTAAAGATATAGAATGTTTTACAATGAAATCTTAGAAATATGGAGGCCGGGTCCCCAGAACCAACTGGTTCTTTGTTTACAATAAATGCTATAAGTATATAGAAATACATTTTCAGCCTTTAATTACTATCGAACATTTTCACGCGTTTAGTTGAAATATTGAACATTATTTTTACAGACTCAAAATTAGAATCCACAGCCATGTAAGACGATGAAAAACACATTAACTCAAGTTTTCTTTCCAACCGACGTCACATTTTTTGTAAAAGTATTTGTCTCTCACATCCTATGACTTGCACTATATAAATGAAAAATGTCAGCTATGGTACTTTTCTGACCAATTATTATACCCCGTGCAAAATGTTACCGGGGGGTGGGGGTGAGAAAGATAGAGAATACAAGCACGTAGCAGCTGGTGGAAGCGCTCCCCACACTTCTTTTTCCAAACATCTCTTTACGTGTAAAAAATCTTCATTGAAGGACCACCGATAGCTTCCTCCCTCTGTTTGTTACAATAAAGCCAATCAAGGGTCAAGTCGTCTTGTATGAATAACATTTGGTACTGAAGGAAGTGGGACCTACATCCCCTTCCTCCAAGTAAATTGGTGTTTCGGTTTTTTTTCTCTGGCTTGCCCCCCCCCCCCCCCTTTTAAACACGATGGCACGTCACAATTATATTTAATACTATTGACATGTATGTATGTGAAGACATTCTTATTCTACTTTTTTTAATTTAACAAGAGGAGGTATTGACTTGTTAAATAATATTGCAAGGATAAATAATCTATAAAATACACGTTGTATCCTTTGAAAATACATTTTGTTGAACAATCAATTCAGCTTTGAGGTCTTGTATTAAATTATCTGCTATTCTTTATTTGATAGTTGGATATTGTTTGTTAATCAGTTGTTTCTCCTGTTTAGACCAAAAATACTGGGAATATACTGTTTTCCCCGCCATATTTATAAAAACACTAAACAACTCGAGATGTTTTATTTAGATCACTAGAGTTCAATCAGTGAGCATGCGCATATTTAACACTAGTGCGACACGGGTTGTCTTAATCGAATACACTCATACAGTTTTGCATTATCACGGGTTTCATGAGCGCCGAATACTATAGCTATGCAGACTTTAAATGGGCATAAGGAAAGGCGTTTAACGTGGAGAAAAGAGAATCCTGTAATCATACATCAATGCGTTTTATCCCAATATCTTACCTCGCATATCAGAAACTGCATGGACTACTAGTATTCTGTAATAAACACTCAAAAATAATAAAGACTGTTTTCTTTTCGATAAGATTTTTATGGCAGGCTCTAAAAACTGAAAATTTACCGTATTTATATCATTTTTTAACTTACGTAAACTTTTAGGATTGTAAACTCGTAGAGACAGATTTTTTTTATCCCACTTAAAACGTATTCCAAGCTTTCAAGTCGTGTTTGTTCACGGTAGAATTGTCATAAATATTATATTTTTCCCAAATGCGCCTAAAATTTACAAAAAGTTTGTTCTAAAAAAATCTTTTGAGCAAAAAAACTTTAAAACCACGTATTTATTCTCTCGTGGGTTTGTCTAAATGCTGTTATCTGATTGGTCAGAAGGATTAGTGTTTTGTTTATTCTGTGTATTTATAGCAATTCACGGTTATCGTTCTTGACTTCCTTATTTAGAAATCGTCCAGACCTGTTTAACAACACAGAATAGGATCGAGCAGAGCACGGACCTCGGAAACATCAGAGGTGGGATCAGGTGCCATTAGTATACAATTAAATTCACAAATAAATTTTTATACATAAAATTGCCATTCCTACTTTCTAGAAATTGCTCTAAGTATAAATGATCTATTAATCAAGACAGTTTACAGGCAAGTGACGTTACCAATGTTACCGAGGTTCATCAGTCTCGTTCACAGTCGTTTGTTGTATATGTACCTTATATTGTTTCATAATGTTGATTGCGATTGCAGACTATCAATAAGTCATTTTACGTCTGACATGGTTTATACCAACAGCTAAGGTATCGTTTATATACTAATTCTAATTATAGATAACTCCATTAATCTTATCAGAGCAGAGATTACTGCAATATGACTGATCTACGCGGGATTCGATTTTTTACTCCTCTTGGATACTTTTTCCCATCGCAAGCCTTTTCCCCTCCACTATAAAATTTCTTTACTGAAAATATGAAATTATCATTGACTTCTCTGTTTACCAAAAATCTGTATTAAGCATTTAGTT